ACCGATCTACTGTGGATGAATACAGTTTTAATGCAACTTTTAGATCCACTTTCCTTACTGAGGAGTTGGTAGCAGTGGTGTGTGTGAGTGTGTGTGTCAGTTGGAACAGCTCTCTCTGTCAGTTATTCTGCTATGAAGAGTCAGTAAGTCTGGACGAAAGATGGATCAAATCTCTGTGCTTTGCTGAAAACTGGAACTCAAGGGGTCCATGTTTTTACACCAATGGGTCAATGAGACTTTGCTGATTATGACGGAGTTTCATTTGTCTTCCTAAGAAAATAAATTGAACAAAATTAGAGCATATTTAATGTCTGTCTTTTCAGGTTTTGGGGCTCAAGTCTCCTTGGTTGAGCTGCTTTCTGTTGGGCAGCTGGAAGGTATCTCTTGACTTTGAAGGCTCTATTTTTAAAAAATTAAACCCGGAATGGTGTGAAAGTTACAATGTGAGAAAGAGGATACGTTTTCCTCCAATTTTCTGTTAAAATAATTTCAGTGAGTTAAAGATTGTGGACACAGTTGCAGTTTTTATAAGAAAATCTAAAGGATTTCCCTGCATTTCTCCAGTCAGTTGGAAGCTGCACTTTGTACCAAAGTTCCGTACCGTAGGAGTCCATTCCACACTCAGAAATGACTGATGGAAGAATTTTGAGTATTAAAAAAATGTATAAAATATTATAAGGAGCTGATACACATCAAAATAGCTCAACACTTTGAACCCATTGTTAATGTTGAATGGTGTCTGAAGTTATGCTGAAGTAATAAACTTTGAAAGTGGTAAAATGTTTTGAAAGATTTGAGGGAGTCTTCATTCAAAAATTTTAAAAAGGTTAAACATTTCATAAAGTTTAGACTATTTTAACACCAAAAGAAACACAATAAATGTCCTGAATGAGGCACAAATCTAAAGACTTTTCTTCTTGAAATGATGGTAAGAATAATGTACAGTATTCTCTCTATAGTGGGTTGGGGGCTAGAGGGGGAGTTTGGCCCAGGGTGTCACGGAACGAGGAAGCATCTTGACCCCCATGCATAGGGTCACTCAGGAGACCAGAGACCTTTAACATATTTATTGTACGGTGTTCTGTGGTGGTGCCGGGAAGTGCGTTGTGAGAAGGATGATCAGTCCAGATTTGATTGTTTTGCAATTCTACTCTACCTTGTTGCTGAACAGTACTCTGTGACCATCTAGGACAGGGGTCACCAACACGGTGCCCGCGGGCACCAGGTCGCCCGCACGGACCAAACGAGTCGCCCGCAGGCCTGTTCTAAAAATAGCACAACTCATTAGTGAGCTGCGTCTAAAATGTAATTTTGTTCCTTTCCTATTCTTTTTTAATCACACTTGCATTCATATAGATTTGATTTAAAATGACAATATCTTAAAATATGTTAATTATATATTAAGTTTAAGTTTTCTCTAGTTCAAAGGTCAGTATTGTGCACGTGACAAAACAAAACCAGTGTCAGTGGAGAGTAAGCTAGCGGGCGCAGCGGAGATGGGTGTAGTTTCTTACCCCAAAAACATGGGAGAAAAACGAAAGAGAACTTATCACTTTCACAACGAATGGGAGGAGGAGTTCTTTTTTACGACTGTAAAAGAAACCTGCGTGTGTCTGATTTGCGGGGTTAGGGCAAAGCGGCACAATGTGGAGAGACACTTCACTTCGTGCCACAAAAGCTAGCATGCTAACTACCCACCGGGAAGCGCACTACGGGCAGAAAACGCACATCTGAAATACGCACTCACAGCTGCAGTGTCAAGTCACACACCAGATCACAATGAACTGGTGAACAGCAGGCAATGCCAATCTGTTAAAGATTTGGTCATGAGATTTCAGATCTCTTTTTAATATGTGAATTGATTTTTCTCTAACATTAGATAATTGATAACTTTTTGAAACATGGTGCAACATAGTTCATGATTTGTTAAAAGGTTTTGTCAGTGGCTAGTGAAAATGAGTGAAATTGAAAACTCCTATGTAAATGTAGTGATGTACAGTAAGTGATCATTTGAAAATGTCACAGTTGCTGAGATAGAGATAAAGTGGTGGATATTGATATGTTTCCCATTTTGTTGTCACTGTTGTCACAGATGAGTATCATTAACGATTATTGATGAAGTATAACTAAAAGCATATTGAGCAAATGTATTATTTCAGAAGAGTGTATCAAACTGGTAGCCCTTCGTGTGACTCAGTACCCATGAAGTAGCCCTCCGTTTCAAAAAGGTTGGTGACCCCTGTTGTAGACACTGTTATAAACAGAAAAAAATATGCAAAGCCTTTTACTTACTTCAAACAGATAAATCCAGTCCAGTAAATCTAGGGGATGCTACAGGGGACGTAACAGTGATATAAAAAAAAAAAAACCTCAGTACACTAAAGCACAGATACAGTCAAATCCCAACATCAAGGACACATAGGGAGGGAGGCATAGGCGGTTTTAGACAGGGGCCAACAGGGACCGGTGCCCCTGTAGAACCGGCCCTGGCCCCCGTTACGGCCCCTGTGCCAAACTGAATGCGCTATAACAGAAACCGGAACTGATTTGCCGCCACGTTTCATGGGGAATGTTTAGAGCGGTGCGCGCTCACTTAGGATTTTCTCAACACGACAACAAGAAAGAAGGATAGCATTTACAGACGACTTGGACGACTAACGGAAAAAAGAGTAAAGAGACCGAGGTAAGCAAGAAATATGATTGTTTCTTGATGCGCTTTTTGGCTCATCTTTGAGTGCTACTGCCGTTTTTACTGTAATGAAACGTCATATTTAAACTTTTGCTTAATGGAGTCCACAATACTTTAGGAACTGATTTAATTTTTTCCTCCATGGCATTGCTTTACCAGTGAATTATATATAAAGTTGCTAGTTTTAAACTTAAGGATATTTGAGATTCTATCACAGTTATGCCAATTATATATTATCCATTACTTTCTTGCAGCACAGGAAACGTCAGTAGTCATGAAAAGAAAAAGAGACATTACGTCATATTTCACCGCTGTTAGCAAAGAAAAACGTAGAGAGAGGGAGGATGACAGAGCCAATGAGCAGGATGAAAGAGAGAAAGAGGAGATGATTAGCGAGGAAGCTAACATTGAGACATCAGAAACAGAAGCATTCAATCTTGAGAGTGTAAAAGTGTAAAAAGAAAAGTGTAAAAAGAAAAAGAAAAGTACAATTCTCTTGAAAGGATTGAATTTGTCCTTGATTTAACCTGGAAAATAATCTTGTCTGCCAATGGAATAAGTATTTTAACCCTTAAAATAAGATAAGAAGACATACTCCATTAGAAATACGATGATGGAAATTATTTTTTGCTAGTCTAAGACCAAAAAGCTTTCCAAATGGCGGATAATATTTGCCTGCTCGAATCAAGGACAAATACAATTATTAAAAACAATTGCTTACTTTTAGTTATGTTTTTTCAGTATGATCTTAATGGATTATAATGAATAAATATATACAATTACAAGCTAATGAATCCACTAATGCTCTGTTACACCCTCATCTTTTCATTCATTTCTTTTCAGATATCAGTAAGTGCAAGGATGATCCACCAGTGCAGCCTAATTTAAGGATATTTCCAACCACAGTTATGGGGGACAGAAGACGCAGCTTCCAAGCAAGTTGGTATGAAAGTCATCCTTGGGTGGAATATTCTGTAATTATGGATTCTGCTTACTGCTATGCCTGCCGACATTTCAGCCCACCAAGTATTTCTGGCAGTGTGTTTGACTCACCATCAGGCTTTAGGAATTGGAAAAAAGCAACCGAAAGAGAGGGAGGGTTTTCGGTACATTCAAAATCTGACAGACATAAGCAAGCAATGATAGCATGGAAGGACTACCAAAGGGCCCTGAAAGCTAATACAACACTGGAAAATTTGCTTAACCAGGAACACAGTAAACAAGTAAAAGAAAACCGTGAGTATATTAAAACAATTGGGGAAGTGATATTGCTCACGGCTAGACAAAACATAGCACAGAGAGGACATGATGAGTCTGAGGAATCAAATAACAGAGGAAATTTCAGGGAAATTCTTGAAATAGTTGCAAATCACGATGCAGCTGTTAAACACAGACTAACATCCATTCACCATGCAAAGTACACTAGCAAGACAATTCAGAGTGAGGTTCTGAATTGTTTGGCAGAAATGGTCCGTTCTGAAATAATTGAAGAAGTAAAAAGCAGTCAGTACTTCAGCATCATGGCAGATGAGACTAAGGATGTCTCAAAACAGGAGAAGATTTCATATGTACTCAGGTACTATTATAATGGAACAATCAAGGAGAGTTTTCTCCATTTTGAATCTGCTGAAAGACTAGATGCAGTGGGGCTCACTGAAAAGATAGTCCGCTTATTGGAACACCATGGCCTAGACTACAAAAATAACCTTATAGGCCAGGCATATGATGGAGCTGCTGTGATGAGTGGTAAGCATTCAGGGGTCCAGGCGAGAATCAGAGAGCAAGCCAAATTTGCATTTTACATCCACTGCAGTGCCCACTGCCTTAATTTAGTGCTAGTTGATTCTGTCAAAGCAGTACCAGAAGCAGAGGAATTCTTTGCATTGTTGCAGAGTCTTTATGTTTTCACTTCTGGCTCAAATGTGCATGCCAAATGGCTGGCTGTACAAACTGAGATGTATGGCAACACAAGAGAGCTCCAAAAATTGAGTGACACACGATGGGCTTGTCGGTTCATGGCCCTACGTAACATAATGGACAGATTACTTGCCCTAAAACGTGTCCTACAAGAGATGGCACTAGAGCACAGGGGAGAAAAGTCTTCTGAGGCCCGTGGTCTCCTGGCCCAGATTGACCTAGAGTTTTTTTGTTCCCTTTAGTTACGCTTCGCAAATTGTTTGGGGAAACGAAGCTTCTTTCAGATATGCTGCAGTCATCAACTGTTGACCTCTCAAGAGCAGCAGATTTAGTGGAAGGTTTGGTTCAGACTTTGACAGATTTCAGGCAACAGTCCTTTTTTTGACAACCTGTGGGATGAAGTATTAACCATCTGTGAGCAGTGTGATGCTGCCACCCAGTCGTTGGCAAAACGACAAAGAACAAAAAGTTCTAGACTCCGTGAGTACCACATACTAAGCTCTGTTGGTCAGAGGGAGCAAGTTTGTGATAAAGAAACTTATCGGTCCTCTTTCTTTTATCCTGTCATTGACTGCATGCTTAGTGAACTAAGCAGACGTTTTTCAAAGACCAACTGTGAGCTGATGAGTTGTATCCAATCTCTTAACCCCAAGAGTGATGCATTTTTAAAAGACACAACTCTGTTTGAATTTGGCCGTCTTTATGATGCCAATATTGAGGCTCTGGGACCTGAACTCAATCAGTTCAGAAGACTTTTAGAAACAAAACTAAAGAGTCACGAGATTGAAAACCCTTCGGATACAGTGGAGTTGATCCGTTTCATTGAGCCATACAAAGACGTATTCTGCCAGCTCTTTAGACTGTGCAAAATTGCTGTTGCACTCCCAGTGAGTTCTGCTACCTGTGAGAGGAGTTTTTCCAAACTAAGATTAGTGAAAACCTACCTCAGGTCCACTATTACCGATGAACGTCTCAGCAGTTTAGGGATGTTAAGCATTGAATCCAGAAGGGCAAAGGCTTTGGACCTTGATGCATTTGTGGACTATTTTGCAAGAAACCACAAACGCAGAATACTATTATTGTAGTGTTTGGTATTTCCAGGGCAAGACCGTGAGAAATTACTGAAATGAAAATGTGACTGTAGGTCTCCTAAATGTTAATGTACAGGTTAATGAAGGTTTGTGAAGGTTTATTGTTCCTATGTGCTGTATGTGAAATACTTTGAATAGAAGTTTTTGTAACATTGGTGCTCTAAATAAACAAAAATGTTGTTTAAAAAAAATTGTCATTTTTTTTCCATTCTTCTATCTGTGCCCCCATGAAAAAACAGTGGCCCCACCTTGACCCCCTGGAAATTTCTTCCTAGAACCGCCCCTGTGCTTATGCTAACAGTATTTTTATTATGCATTTGAAAACTGTTTCTGAGGTTCAGTTTGAGAGGCCTTCCGTGTCAATATGATTAATAACTATCTATGCTGGTCTATACATTCAAAAAGCTGTCAATTACGCCTCTGTTCAACTTACTAAAGTAATTCATTAATAGTAGCAATGTTCAGCACTAATATATTAAAAAAAGTACAAGTTTCTTAATAATTGAAAAATGGTTAACCTCATTAATAAGAAAGATCTGTTCCTGCACAACAGCTGTGAAAATGCCAAAGAATGCTCATGAATGTGGAAAAAATATGGAAAAAATAGCAACACTCAGTGGAAAAACACATTAAAATGTGACAGTCAGTAATCTGAAAGTTAATAAGCGATAGCTGAAGGTTTTTTTCCATCCAAAAAAGCGGCTTGTGACATCTTTTCCTGTGTTACTGGAGACTGGTGAGTCCAGATGAAAGCTGCAACACTTGGCAGTTACTGTCCTCAGCAAGCAGCCATTTTAAAGAAGCCCCTCCCACTTATCACAGACACTCAGTCTCACAGGAGCCTGGTGCAGCAAAGCCACCTGCAGCCAGAAAGAGGAGAGCCACTCCACTCTGAGTCCACTTTGCAGTTGAACCACCCATGCACAAAAGTCCTACCGATCTACTGTGGATGAATACAGTTTTAATGCAACTTTTAAATCCAAATGAGGTGGTTACGTCACTTAGCAACCGTTAGCCAGTAGCCACTTTCTTTACTGAGGAGTTGGTAGCAGTGGTGTGTGTGAGTGTGTGTGTCAGTTGGAACAGCTCTCTCTCTCAGTTATTCTGCTATGAAGAGTCAGTAAGTCTGGACGAAAGATGGCTCAAATCTCTGAGCTTTGCTGAAAACTGGAACTCAAGGTGTCCATGTTTCTACACCAACGGAGCAACGAGACTTTGCTGATTATGACGGAGTTTCATTTGTCTTTCTAGGAAAATAAATTGAACAAATTTAGAGCATATTTAATGTCTGCCTTTTCAGGTTTTGGGGCTCAAGTCTTCTCCTTGGTTGAGCTGCTTTCTGTTGGGCAGCTGGAAGGTGTGTCTTGACTTTGAAGGCTCTGGTTTAAAAAATTAAACCCTGAATGTTGTGGAAGTTACAATGTGAGAAAGAGGATAAGTTTTACTCCATTTTTCTGTAGAAATAATTCAGTGAGTTAAAGATTGTGGTCACAGTTGCAGTTTAAAAAAATAATATATATAAAGGATTTCCCTGCCTTTCTCCAGTCAGTTGGAAGCGGCACTTTGTACCAAAGTTCCGTACCGTAGGAGTCCATTCCACACTCAGAAATGACTGATGGAAGAATTTTGAGTATTAAAAAATTGCTAAAAATACTTTAAGGAGCTGATATACATGAAAATAGCTCAACACTTTGAAACCATTGTTAAAGTTGAATGGTGTTTGAACATATGCTGAAGTAATAAACTTTGAAAGTGGTAAAATGTTTTGAAGGATTTGAGGGATTCTTCATTAAAAAATTTAATAAACTGAGACAAATTGGGGGGAAATGTTTGTATTTTCGGCTTGCCTCGTTTGCAAAAGCTTCCCTCATTTTCTTGAGGCAGGCTCTTAATAAAGAGTTCTTTCTGTAATGAACGTGATTAGGACCCAAACGCAGTTTAACAAGGTTTATTAGCAGACAGGGGCTCGGCAGAGGCGTGGTCAGTACAGTCCAGGTTCGATAACGGGTGGTCCAGGCAGCGCAGATAATCCAACTCGTGGTGAGGGGCCGGTCGAGGGTCAGAGCCAGGGGAGCAATCCAGGGGAGCAGGCGGGAGCACGTAATCAGGCAGACGATTTCGGGACACGGGGAGACAGGCAGGATCCAGAGACTGGCAGGCAGATCTCAGGTAGGCAGACTAAACAGACAGGGAGTAGGCAAGCCTGGGAGTCGGAGTCAGACGGGTCGTAAACAGGCAGACAGAATCAGGATATAATGCTGGAAGTACTCACACGAGGCTCGATACGTTCTGGCTAAGAGTTCAGGTAAGTACGGGGAATATATGGAGGTGGGAACAGGTGAGATTGATGAGCGCTGATTGCGGGGTGAGTAGCTGGGCAGGTGTGGAGGTGGGGGTGGAGCCAGCTCCAGAGCCGGGACGTAACACTTTCAGTCACTCTATGAGTCACAGAGGGAGTGAAAGTCTAAAAGTAACACACAAACATCTAAAAGTAACTGACAAACGTGTATAGGTAACGTACGAAAACCCGAAAGTCACTGACAAGCATCGATCTATAAAGATCTGTCTGTATGGACATATTTACAAGCACAGCCGCTCAGCACACAATAAACTGGCCTGTGGTAGCTGTGGTAACTCTGCTGGACGCCCGATTGGAGGAAGAAGGCTGGATGTGAAATGTAAATGTGGTCTAAAAGGGTGTTGTGCGTGGTTCCTAGTGTAATCAGTTGTGTGTACCCCCGGGAGTGAAGCAGATCGTGTATGGCTTTTTTATCTGTGGAGAGCAGGTCCTCGTTAAAATCCCCACAGATGACTTCAGGCTGGAAGTTCATGTAATCTAAAAAGTCTAACAAATGCCTCATCTGGGGCAGAAACTTATCCAAGCTATAATTTGGCGGCCTGTAAACAGTTGCAATAAGTGCGGTAACAGGATCCTGGACTTTCACGACTACAACTTCCAAATCGGTAACACTCTGTAAAAACCTACGTGGCTCAGCTTGAAGGTAGGGCCTGCAGTGAACTACGACTCCACCGCCATCTTGACCAGCCATGTGGGTGTAAGTGTTGTAGGAGGTGTTCCTGTTCCTGTTGAACAGGGTGTAGCCCTCTAAGTGAAAAAGAGAGGTGACCAAAGACTCGGACAGGTGAGTTTCCGTCAGGAACAAGAAGTCGGCCAGCAGAAACCTGTGATGACGTTTTACAGCCGCGATGTGGGTGGGCAGCCCCTGGGTGTTGTGGTGGACGCTGGTCTGCTACGTGTGGTGCCTATGTGTTTGAAACGGTGAAGCAGCGGTCTGATGTGCTCGAAGGAAGCGAGTCTTCCAGTGCACCTGTGATATGAGGATCGCCGTAGATCTTGTCTTCATTAAAGTGTGTGATGTAGAGCCCCTGCAGTGACGTTGTGCGGCTCAGGGCGATGTAGGCCATGCCCGGTTCAGAAATAAGCTCTAAGCTAACCACAGCACCCTGCATCATCATGCCTTGGACCTTATGGGCCGTGCAGGCAAAGGCCAGTTTCATGGGAAACTGCCTTCTGCTAACTCCCTTCACGCTCATTCTCTCCTCGCACCGTTCGACGTACGCCAGATCGTCCGAAGGCCCCAAAATCGTTCTGCAGAACCTTTGACCCGTGATGGGATTGTCAAGCCTGAGCCCGATTAGCTTGACCAAGTTGGGAAACACGCTCTCATCCATAACTATATGCGCTATGACTATAAGGTCCCGTTTACCATGCCGCCCTCCACATCCAGATTTCTAACAATCATGACACGAACACCAGTTGCTGCCTGGATGTTGTCCAGTAAATCCCTCTTCTTGCCTTTCAACGAACCAGCAGATATCATTACATTTCTTATAATCCTCTGCCTTGATGTCAATGGTACCAGGGCAGCAACCCAGGCCGAATTGTAGCTACTGACCTGTTTGTTGGTAGCAAAAATGTGGAGAATGTCCACAGGGGAACGTCCACTGTGGGCAAAGACATGTCCCCCTGGTTTTGGAATCGCGGAAACTGTCTTAGGATCTTTGTGGCCTCCTCGTCTTTGCATTTAATGACATGGGACTTACTGCAGCCTGCTCCTCCAGACACGAAGCAGAAGAACTGCTCAGGATTGTTGCCCCAGACCAGTCTGTAGCACCAGTCCTGAGCAGAGTAAGAAATGGACGCCTGCATTTCATTAAGGGATCTGTTCATCTTAATGACCACATCCGGGCTCAGCCTCGGCACCACTATGGCTGGAATGGTGGGAGCTTCCACAGGCAGATATTCAGGGACGTTCTCTCCCTGAATATCTTCGGGGGCCAAAGGCTTTCTCTGTGCAGCACAATCCAACGCATCTGCCTCCACCTCCGGAGCATAGCAGTTCCAGGCGTTGATCACGGGGCCTTCTTTTCAAAGGTGCTCCATGACCTGTGACACACTGTACAAATCAAGGTGGGTCCTTCCCAAACCTGTTCAAGGAACGCTGAAATAGCTGCTTCTATAACTTCACTTACCTGAGGCTCTTGAATGTTACCACTGACCTGAGCTTCTTGCACCGCGTGGCTCAGCTGAGGCTCCTGCGCAGCACCACTGAGCTCTGGCCGCTGCATACTGAGCTCCGGCTGGGCCTCAGGTCCACCAACCTGGGCCTGAACAACACTAACAGCAGGCTGTGCATTTCTCATTACTGCCTAAACGTCACTGGGCTCTGGTTCAGGCAGTACACTCTGGTGACAGGGTCAGGAGATGTACCGGTATCTCCTCTGGATCCTCAGTGCACGCTGCAACTTATGTTGTATATGGAGTATGGTATCGGTAGCCAATCTGAGTTTTTGGAGTTGTCCACAGCGCTCTATGTGTTGCTGTCTAAAGTCGAGGTCACTGTGATACATAGTATATATGTTTTGTAATTTTCTTTTTCTGTACGTGTCGTTACAATTATACAGATTGGTACTGTAAACTCTACTATTAATTCTGTATGAGGTATTTTCTAATTATGTTAGAGTTTTGT